TTTTTTAATGTTAGATTAAATACATTTTCAATACATTGCGAAGTTTTGGTGCTAAATTCATTCATACATTAATTACTACATAACTTTATTGTGTATTGACCTGCTTTTTTCTGTCCATTTGTTGTAAAAACATGATGTTTTGGTACTTAATTTGTAAAATCATAATGTAATTTGATGTTTAGTAGGCTTTTCCTTGATCCCTCCCTATTATCCAACATTTTAGCTTATCCAACGTTCTACCGGCCCGTTTATGTTGGATAAGCGACATATCCTCAGTGAGTATCCTCAGAGTAGTGTGGTAAACAGTCTTCCCTCTTTCTTTCAAATGTGTCCAAACTGTACAACAGATATAATTCCTTCTTATTTAGCTATGTGCAAGCTCTCTCTCCCTAGCATGCACTTCCCCACCCTATGATACATAATCTTAACCTATAGAGCAGTGTTTCTCAACCTGGGGGTCGGGACCCCTGGGAGGATCATGAGGGGGTGTCAGAGGGGTCACCAAAGACCATCAGAAAACACTGTATTCTGTGTGGAAAGTTTGGCCCAATTCCATCGTTGGTAGAGTTCAGAATGCTCTTTTATTGTAGGTGAACTATAAATCCCAGCAACCACTGTGCTGGCATGGCTGTGGCAGGAGATTTGAATTTCTTTTTCTTGCACTATTAGTTTGCATGAATCCATTTGGGCCATGCATTTTGCAATTGAGTAGCTTTCCCCAGGTTGCAGTCATAGGGCCAACAACCTATCAATCATCGTTAGAGCCTTTAGATCCACCCCTTTCCCCAGGTTTGGAGGGAAAAGGGGACTTTCAGTTCAGTCTCACAGTTTGAAGCCTGGCAGTAGGATGTGTGGGCTAGGACCTCTGTCCCACCTGTAAAAAGCTTTGGAGGGAAAAGGGGACTTTCAGTTCTGTCTCACAGTTTGAAGCCTGGCAGTAGGATGTGTGGGCTAGGACCTCTGTCCCACCTGTAAAAAGCTTTGGAGGGAAAAGGGGACTTTCAGTTCTGTCTCACAGTTTGAAGCCTGGCAGTAGGATGTGTGGGCTAGGACCTCTGTCCCACCAGTAAAAAGCTTTGGAGGGAAAAGGGGACTTTCAGTTCAGTCTCACAGTTTGAAGCCTGGCAGTAGGACGTGTGGGCTAGGACCTCTGTCCCACCTGTAAAAAGCTTTGGAGGGAAAAGGGGACTTTCAGTTCAGTTTCACAGTTTGAAGCCTGGCAGTAGGATGTCCCACCTGTAAAAAGCTTTGCTTCTTACAGCTCTGCTGGGGTTAAAGAAATAGATCTATAGCCAGCTTTGCTGGGGAGTAAAGTTACAGATCCCCAGCTTTTGCTGGGGAAAAAGGAAAACCTCTACAGCTTGCTGGGGTTAAAGAAACAGATCTACAACCAGCTTTTGCTGGGCAAAAGAAATAGTTTCTACAGCCTTCATGGAGCAATCTACAGGACACCAGCTTGGCAAATCTACAGACCTTGCCTGGTAAGGGACCATTCGGGCTATCCATAATGCAGCTTGGAGCCGGGAGTTGGGGCCTCACGCCAGCAGGGTTAAGAAAGTTTGCCCAAGGAGGGGTCGGAAGGTTTCCCGAAAGGAGATAGGAACAGTTTTTCAAGCAGTTGCCTGTCCCTTGTCGGCAGATCGAGAAAGCTACCAGTTTTTCAAGATTATAAAGCATCTAATTCGTTTGTTCGAAGATTTAAGCTTTAATAAAGAACTTTGTTGGACTTATTTTGAGCCTCTACAAAACTTTGTGTTGGGAAACCTATGGGACCCTTTAGCTAAGGCACCCCGGCGTCTCGTTGGGCATACAGAAAACACGTCCTGCAAACAGACATTGTCATAGGCCCAGCGCATAACAGTACAACTACAACTCCAAAAAATGTCAAGGTCTATTTTCCTCAAATTCCACCAGTGTTCACATTTGGGCATATTGAGTATTCATGCCAAGTTTAGCCCAGTTCCATCATTGTTTGAATCCACAGTGCTCTCTGGATGTAGGTAAACTACAACTCCCACACTCAAAATCAATGCCCACTGAACCTTTCCAGTATTTTCTGTTGGTCATGGGAGTTCTGTGTACCAAGTTTAGTTCAATTTCATCATTGGTAGAGTTCAGAATGCTCTTTGATTGTAGATGGACTATAAATCCCAGCAACTACAACTCCCAAATGACAAAATCAGTGTCCCTTCCCCAACCCCACCAGTATTCCAATGTGGGCGTATCGGGCATTTGTGCCCAATTTGGTCCAGTGAATAAAAATACATCCTGCATATCAGATATTTACATTATGATTCATAACAGAAGCAAAATGACAGTTGTGAAGCAGCAACTAAAATAATGTTATGGAGGTCTCCACAACACGAGGAACTGTATTAAGGGGTCGCGGCGTTAGGAAGGTTGAGAAACACTGCTATAGAGGTACTGAAAACAGAAATGGGCCTTGCTGTAAGCACGAGGCGACAGATGTGTTTCCTTCCTAGGAATTCTTTCTATATACATACATACATGCAAAATTATACTGGTCCCTGTGGATTGTCATTTTCGTAATGTAATTGAGTGCTGTAAAGCTCAAATGGTGCGATTTTGGATTGTGTGATTTTAATAAATGGTTTTAATGTATAGATGTTTTAACTTTATATTTTGCTAATTATATGTTGTTCATTGAGTTTTGGTTTATGTATGTAAGGCACTGAATTTTGCTCTTATTTTTTATATAAACCGCATTTAGTGTCCCACCCCAGGCGTGAGAAAAGTGTATATAAATATTGTAAATAAATAATAAATTGATGTATATGTTTATTTTAATTGTATGCTTGTTTATGCCTACCTGTAAGCTGCTCTGAGTCACCTTTGGGATGAGAAGGGCGGGGTATTAATCTATATAAATAAACATGTAATGTTCTGGGTTGGTATAGGTTTTTTTGGGCTATATGTTCTAGAGGCATTCTCTCCTGACGTTTCGCCTGCACCTCAGAGGTAGTGAGGTGATAATAACAACAACAGAGGTAGGATTGCATTGTTGTTGTTGTGTTGTTGTTGCTGTTGTTGTTATTATCACCTCACTACCTCGGAGGATGCTTGCCATAGATGCAGGCGAAACATCAGGAGATAATGCCTCTAGAACATGGCCATATAGCCCGAAAAAACCTACAACCCAGTGATTCCAGTGATTTTGCCTGAATCTATTGGAGGCATCCTCAGAGGTTGTGAGGACCTCACAACCTCTGAGGATGCCTGCTATAGATGCAGGCGAAACATCAGGAGAGAATGCCTCTAGGACATGGCCATATAGCCCGAAAAAACTTACAACAACCCAGTGATTCCAGCCATGAAAGCCTTCGACAATACATGTCATGTTCGTTTGTGGGATTAACATAACTCAAAAACCACTGGGCGAATTGACACCAAATTTGGACACAATACACCTATCAGGCCAATGAGTGACCATCACTCATAAAAACACTGAAAAACACAGCGGAAGAGACTTAAAAAAAATACATTACAACGCATGCGCATACCACATATATCCACATATACACAGACTGGGCCATAGCAACACGTGGCAGGGGACAGCTAGTATCTATATAAATAAAAATGTAATATTCGTTTGTGGGATTACCATAACTCAGCTATGCTACTCTGCTGCTGAGTACGCATGCCCAGTGTGGAACACATCTCACCACGCTAAAACAGTGGATGTGGCTCTTAATGAGACATGCTGCATTATCACGGGTGTCTGCGCCCTACACCACTGGAGAAATTACACTGTTAGCCGGTATTGCACCACCTGACATCCGCCAGGAAGTAGCAGCCAATAGTGAAAGGACCAAGGCAGAGACATCTCCAGCCCATCCCTTGTTTGAGTATCAGCCAGCGTGCCAACGACTTAAATCAAGAAATAGTTTTCTAAGATCTACAGAGACACTTGCTGGAACACCTCAGCAAGCGAGAGTCCAAAAGTGGCAGGCACAAACCCAGAGCCTCAATCAATGGCTGATACCAAATGAGAGACTCCCCCCTGGGCACACAGAAGACTGGGCGACTTGGAAGGCGCTGAACAGACTGCGCTCTGGCATCACGAGATGCAGAGCCAACCTCAAGAAATGGGGCCACAAAGTGGAATCCACGACATGCGAGTGTGGAGAAGAGCAAACCACTGACCACCTGCTGCAATGCAACCTGAGCCCTGCCACATGCACAATGGAGGACCTTCTTGCGGCAACACCAGAGGCACCCCAAGTGGCCAGCTACTGGTCAAAGGACATTAATCAACTACCAAACTTCACAAATTTTGTATTTTGTTTGTTTGTTTGTTAAAAAATGCAATACAACTGTTTGGCTTGCTCCTGACACATATACCTAGTGAATGACCTGCAGAGAGCTGGGACCAACGTAACAAAGGCTACCATCAGTAACATACAACACCACCCGCCAGGGACTCGGATCCTGCAGTGCCAGACATGTCCCCTGCTTAAGCCAGTACATGTCCGGGGTCAACTGACATTGGCTAGAGAGTATTTGGATGATCCAGAAGAGTATTGGGAGAATGTCATGTTGTCAGATGAAAGCAAAATAGAACTCTTGTCCAGAAGACAGCAGTCCTTTGTCCCAGCCTGGTCATTCCACAGATATATAAACCCTTTTTCCTAATTCCAACAGACCTCACTACCTCTGAGGATGCTTGACATAGATGCAGGCGAAACGTCAGGAGAGAATGCCTCTAGACCATAGCCATATGGCCCGAAAAAACCTACAACAACCTAAAGTAGAACTGTTTGGCAGAAACACAACCCTTTGTCATCTTTGGAGGAGAAAGAACGCTGAGTTGCATCCAAAGAACACCATCCCTACCGTGAAGCATACTAGATAAATAGATAGATACATAATCTATCATATCTATGGCTGGGATGGCAATCTGTGATTGAATATAAACCAAGCGTGTTGTCCAAAATCTTAATAATCATAACGAATCTATGTTCCGAATCTCTTAATTACAGGTCTGCCAAACCGTGGGTCCGAAGAAAGTGCGTGCCAAGAAGAAAAGGATGATGTGCTTGGACATAAAGCACGAAATCATCAGAAAACACGAGCAAGGTGTGCGTGTTGTTGACCTGGCGAGGCAGTACAATCGTAGCCCTTCGATGATCTGTACGATTTTGAAGCAGAAGGAGTCGATTAAGGCGACGACGCCAGCCAAGGGCGTTACAATTATTTCAAAGCTCCGGACCGCTGTCCACGGAGAAATGGAGGAGTTGCTGTTGGCGTGGTTGACGGAGAAGCAGCTCGTGGGAGATACCGTCACCGAGAGCATCATCTGCGAGAAGGCGCGAGTCATTTACAGGGATTTGTTGCGCCGGACGCCGGGAACATCCATGGACAGGGCGTCGGAAGAGTCGTTCAAAGCCAGTCGGGGATGGTTGAATAACTTTAAAAAGAGGACCGGCATTCACTCTGTCATCAGGTATGGAAAGAAACACCCTGAAAGAGTTGCGACAAGTCGTGCATTGTCACCGTGTGATGACAACTGCCCCACTCATTTTAGGAACACCTTCAAAGGGAGGAAGACACACACTTCCTTGAACAGGTTTCTATCTAAACGTCTTGCAAGTGGAAGCAAGGGAAGTGTGGCAAAAAAGGCAAACATCAGTGAAGAGGAAGATTAAGTGAAGTCTGGTATTGAAGAAAAATACTTACTCCACACTTAATAAATCCAGTTTATTTCTTTATATTATCTTTTATTGACTTACTAGTTTGGGGATCCGGCGCTGCCCAGGTTATTTGAGAAAGGCATTAATGAGGGTCACAATGGTCTCATGAAGTGTGTGGCAGTATACAAATCCCATCATCCATTGTCCGTCCTCCCTCAAACCTCAACAGGACGTAAAGGACCTCAACAGGACATGGGGGTTATGGGTGCCAAGTTTGGTCTTGATCCGTCATTGGATGAGGGTTGCAATGGTCTCAGGAAGTGATTGAGAGTACTGCAAGTCCCATCATCCATGGTACTCCAGCAAACTGTACCAGAATGTAGAGTGGGTCATGAGGACTCTGTGTGCCAAGTTTGGTCTTTATAGGTAATTGGATGAGGGTAGCAGTGGTCTCAGAAAGTGAGTGAAGATACTGTAAGTCCCATCATCCGTGGTCCGTCCTGGTGTGGTTTGGGTGAGGATGGACCACGGATGATGGGACTTACAGTATCTTCACTCACTTTCTGAGACCACTACTACCCTCATCCAATTACCTATAAAGACCAAACTTGGCACACAGAGTCCTCATGACCCACTCTACATTCTGGTACAGTTTGCATGAGAGGTCTGTGTGCCAATTTTGGTCCTGGTCTGTGATTTGTGGGGGCCACAGTGTTCCATGGGAAGTGAGTCAGGTGAAGGTACTGTAAGTCCCATAATCCATGGTCCATCCTCGCCCAAACTTCACCAGGGCATGAGGTGGTTCATGGGGATTATGTGTGTCAAGTTTGGCCCAGCTCCGTCATTCATGCTGGTCCCAGTGATCTCACAAAGTGAGTGAAGGTACTGCAAGACCCATCATCCGTGGTCCATCCTCCTCCAAACCACACCAGGATGTAGAGTGGGTCATGGGGGCTGTGTGTGCCAAGTTTGGTCCAGATCTGTCATTGGTGGGCATCACAGTGGTCAGTGAGAGATGAAGTGTTTGAAAGTACTGCAAATCCCATCATCCGTGGTCCATCCTCCCCCAAACTGCACCAGGCCATAAAGTGGGTCATGGGGGTTATGTGTGCCAAGTTTGGTCAAGATCCATCATTCCTGTGGGTTGCAGTGGCCTGTGAGAGTGAGAGCCAATCAGAAAACTACTACATACACCTCCTTACCTATGTTCACCCTCCACATACAAACATTAACTTTTATTATATAGATAGATAGATAGATAGATAGATAGATAGATAGATAGATAGATATAGATGTACACAATGCATAAGGTTGTGGGCAGGCCCATAGCCAGGATTTCGATTCGGGGGGGGGGGTGAGTTTTTTTCATGGGGGGTTTCGGGGAGGCTGAGTTTGGGGGGGGGGGCTGAGTCTGAGTGAAAGAGGGTCTAGCCTAGCAAACCTTTTGTATCATTACCCCAATACCCCCATGCATATGGGATATATTGAGTATGGTGATCAGATCATGATATGAATAAACATAACAGTTTAAATAATGTACCAGTAAGGCCTTTTCGAGAACCACCATGAGAATTTTGGCTACATGCCTGGTTGTGGGTGAACTATAACTCACATCATGCCAGGTTCACCCCCTGAAACTCCATCAGTACATGAAGTTTATTATGCTGGGCAAGTTTGCTCTAGATGCATCATCCGTGGGGTTCAGCATGCTCTCTGGCTGCAGGGTAAACTACAAGTCCCACTATGGTGATTCAGTCCCCTCAAGCCCCTCCAGTAGGTTGAGTTAGTTCGGTCCAGGTCCATCATCGGTGCAGGTCACAGTTTCTCTGGTTGAGGGTAATCTAACTGTGCTAAGACACAAAAGAGACATGCACAAGAAGGGGAAAAAGGGAGAAATCACCAAAGAAGAATTCAAACAAATAGCCAACACCTGTAGGGAAAAGGTCCGTAATTGTCTCGTAATTGCAAGGGGAAATTACTATATCTTGTCTGTAATGGCATTTCTAGTAGGATAGCAATCTCTCTGCACTGCAGCCTGGCTCTTATCCAACTGGATTCTTGGGTTGTGAGCTTCACTGGTTGGCAAGTTCCCTAAAAGAGCAGGCAGAGCTCAAAGGGTTAACTTCCCCTTTAAAGGGAGGGAGGGGCGGGGAAAGGGGCGTGTCTTCGAAGGGGAAGCCACGCCCACTGGTCAGGAACCCGGAAGAGAGGCTGCAAACACAGCAAAGGAACAGCAAAGGCTTGAGAAAGGGGAGAGGAATTGGCTTTCTCTGCGGTGAGTTGTCTTCCTGCCCATTTCCATAATAGGTCATCCTGATTGAGATGAGCCAGCCAAAAGGTGGGATTTGTAGTTTGCATAAATCCAAAATTCCTTCCCATGAAGCCAGGTTGGATTTGATGTATACCCACCCAGGCATTGCACCAATGAGGCTCATCTGATTCCTCCTTTTGAAAGATGCCAATCTTTAGTGTTCAAGGGAAATCTCATACCTTTGTTGTGTCAGGACTATGCCATTGTTTATTGCTAGTCTACGTTGTGGGGAGGGAGTCAGTAGAGCATATACAGCCAAGGGCCAACTTGGGCCCTCCAGGTGTTTTGGACTGCAACTCCCACAATTCCTAACAGCCGGCAGTCCAAAACACCTGGAGGGCCCAAGTTGACCCATGCCTGATCTATACTACCCTGTATCCCAATATCTCGTTCCATTAGAGGTAATAGTATGATAGCTGGGTCCGGAAGCTCCAAGTGTTACGGAGATGCGGCGTCGCTCCTTTGGAAGTGCTATTTATTTATTGTGTCAGGGGCAACCAGACGATTGTATTACATTTCTAACAGAACAAAAACAAACAAACAGACACAAAACAAAATTTGCAAGCTTGGTAGTTGATTAAATGTCTTTTTGGGAGTGCTGTTTGTGCAAGAGAGACTTAGCTAATGTAAGCAAGGCCAGAGACAGATAATACAGAAGGAATTTAAGAGTTTTTTAATGGTGAAATCCTAACCCTTACCTTTACCCTAACCCTGAACCGTACTGTAATCCTAAACCTAACTCCTTAGCCAAACCCTTACCCTAACTCTTATGCTAACCCTAACCCAAACCCTAAACCTTACCCTAACCCTTAAGCTAAACCAAACCCTAAACCTTACCCTAACCCTTATGCTAACCCAAACCGATACCCTAACCTTTACACTAACCCAAACCCTAAACCTTACCCTTACCCTAACCCTTATGCTAACCCAAACCCTAACCCTTACCCTAACCCTATGCAAACCCAAATCCTAAACCAAACCCTAACCCAATGATGGGCAACCTTTTGAGTTTGGTGTGTCAATACTCGCCAGAAAACTGAGCATAACTCGAGTGGGGTGTCACTTCGAGAAAAACCCATAATTTCATGATATTTATAGTTTAATAACAAAAATATATTATTGTAATATATAACTGTATTTAATAAACCAAAAACTAATTATTTAACTTACCTGCTTTTTCTATAATGCCATATATCTCGGCATTATAGAAAAATGCTGTTGTAGGAGCCGAGGATGAAATGTCCATCTTCTCCTTATGTGGCCGCATGCGGCTGTGTTTCATCGAAAATGGCTATGTGTGTCAGTGCTGACACACGTGTCATAGGTTCGCCATCATGGCCCTAACCCAAACCCTAAACCTTACCTAAACCTTACTTTAACCCTTACCCTAACCCAAACCCTAAACTTTACCTTAACCCTTAAGCTAACCCAAATCCTAAACCTTACCCTAACCTTTACACTAACCCAAACCAAAATCTAAATCATACCATAACCATTACCCTAACCCTTAAGCTAACAAAAAACCCTAAACCTTGCCCTAATCCTTACCCTAACCCTTACGCTAATCCAAACCCTAAACCTTACCCTAACCCTTATGATAATCCAAACCCTAAACCTTACCCTAATCCTTAAGGTAAAGGTAAAGGTAGTCCCCTGACATTAAGTCCAGTCATGTCTGACTCTGGGGTGTGGTGCTCATCTCCATTTCTAAGCCGAAGAGCCAGCGTTGTCCATAGACACCTCCAAGGTCATGTGGCCAGCATGACTGCATGGAGCGCCGTTACCTTCCCGCCGGAGTGGTACCTATTGATCTACTCACATTTGCATGTTTTCGAACTGCTAGGTTGGAAGAAGCTAGGGCTGACAGTGGAAGCTCACGCCGCTCCCCGGAATTGAACCTGCGACCCTTCAATCAACAAGCTCAGCAGCTCAGTGCTTTAACCCTCTGCACCCTTATGCTAACCCAAACCCTAAACTTTACCCTAACCCTTACGCTAACCCAAACCCTAAACCTTATCCTAACCCTTACGCTAACCCAAACCCTAACCCTTATCCTAACCCTTACCGTTACCCTTACTCTAACCCAAACCCTAGACCTTACCCAAACCCTTACGCTAACCCAAACCCTAAACCTTACCCTAATCCTTATGCTAACCCAGACCCTAAACCTTATCCTAACCCTTACCTTGACCGTTACGCTAACCCAAACCCTAAACCTTACCCAAACCCTTACGCTAACCCAAACCCTAAACCTTATCTTAATCCTTACCCTGACTGTTACGCTAACCCAAACCCTAAAACTTACCCTAACCCTTATGCTAACCCAAACCCTAACCCATACCCTGACCCTTATGCTAACCCAAACCCTAAACCTTACTCTAACCCTTACGCTAAATCAAACTCTATACCTTACTCTAACCCTTATGCTAATCCTAACTTAAACCGTAAACCGTACCCTAACCGTAACCCTAAACCAAACCTTAAACCTTGCCCTAACCTTTACCCTAAGCATCCCCTCCTTTCTATCCTTCCTTCGTTCTCCCCGCTTTCACTCCACCCCCTCTTTTCCCTTATTCATAGCCGCCTTTGAGGAATCTCTGTAAAGCTCGGAGCTTCTGAGCCCAGCTATCATGCGATCACCCCATTATATCGCAGTGGAGACTCATATAATGGGCGTTCATTAAAGATTCCCCCTGACCCACTTTCTATGGACAGAGAGCAATGAAACTTGGCCCAGTCCTGAGTCTTTCTCTCCATCAGTGCCACCCAGAGACATGCACTTCTCCCATCTTTTTACGCCACTGTCAACACCTCACTTGTAGAAGTCGACAGGTTGCTCCAAAAGCCACGTTGTGACTTTGGAAATCAAGAGTCTCATCACCTGAAAAATCCTTGCCCTTTCAAAAATAACTTCCTTGCTGGAAAGAGGTGGAAGTCCAATGGTGCGAGGTTGGGTGAATCAGAAGAATGCCGTAGAATTCCAAAGCCACAGAAGCATGCTTCTTCCATTTGGGCAACAGGTGAGTTGTGAACTGGTGCATTCTGGAGCATACCACATTGTCTCTTGATTTGGATGGCCTTCCACCATTTCCTCAGCAATGAAGCCTAGTCTGCCTCAGTGATCATGGTCCCCTTTGCTAGGAAATCCATCAGTCCTACTCTATGCTGGTATCAAAATACTGTGAGCATGACCTTGCCTGCCAAGAGTTGGGCACGTGCCTGCTTCGGTGGTGGTGAGTCATGATGCTTCCATTGCATCGACTGGACTTTAGTCTCAGGATCAGAGTGATGGACACAGCTGTTGAAAAAGTCTTCCTGTTTCCATGGCACATCATCGATGGAGCCTGAGAGCATTCAACTTGTTCCTGTTGCTACTAGGGGTTTACAACAGGCTTTTTTTTTTTTTTAGTAACAGGGAGGAACCTTTTTGTCACAGCTGCCACAAGTTACCTGTTTCAGCATATAACAAGGCACTAGGTTTGCAAGTTTGGAGCTTTGCATTTTTGCTTAGCTTGATGGCTCCTTTTGAGCTGAAGAAACTTTTGGCTGTTGCTGGGAGTGGTTATGCAGCATCCTGAAGCTGAAGACTGAAACAGTTTGGAATGCCAGAGAAACTGCATCCTTGAAATCTGCTGGGATTTTCTCAGTCACCCACACTTTTTCAATGAGCTGGTGGAGGAGTTGTGTCAACTCAGGTCCTCCCTCTTTAAAGATTTCAGCAGGGATCCCATCAGGCCCACTGGCTTTGTTATTTTTTTGTTGGCTGATGGGATTGTTGATTTCTTCCAAACTAGGCAGTGCTGCAAGCTCATCCCTGGTTTGTTGTTGTGGGATTTGTGAGAGAACCTCTTCGGACACATTGGAGCCGCGATTCAGGAGGCTTTGGTAGTGTTCTTTCCAACGTAGTGGAAATTGATTTTTTTGTCCTTCGGAAGTTTGGTTCCACCTGATGAGCGTAGAGGCTGTATGCCATGGTTTCTTGGTCCGTAGATGACCTTTGTGGCTTTGAAAAATCCCTGAGTTTTTATCACACTGAGAGTAAAAGGCATTCTGCGGGCTGCTAAAGCTACTCTGACAGTTCCTGCTTCTGGCGAGCGGATTCCTTATGCATGTGAAAATGGTCTTGGGTGATTTTTTCCCACAGACTCCACACTCATCTTGACAATTTGGGATAGGTGGCAAATGATTACACAACAATTTTCCAAAATGATGACCTCCACTTTCTGGATGGTGTGTTCATCAATAGTAGAGTGGGATCCCCTTGGAATTGGAGCTGTTTCCACCAAAGTCCAACCACATTGGAATTGACGAAGCCAGTTCTTGACTCCATCATATGATGGGGAATCATACCCATCAACCTCTTTCATCTCATTGAACATCTCCTTTGGTGTGTGGCCTTGAGGAACTTGAGGACTGCTCTGTTTTCCACTGGGTCCATTATCAAACCTCACACTCCACTTCCGCACCTATAAAATCAAAACGTGCTGGGCCTGTAACAGCTGTCTTTTCTATAGGATGTATACTTTAAGCCCAGTGGGAAGTCAGGGCGCCTCAAAGAGAGGTTCTCAGGGATTTTTCTGAAGTGATGGTCTTTAGAGTCTTTAATGATACAACAAAGTCTTTATTATGAAACAAACAACAAATCTTCAATGGTTCAAACAACACTTCAAGGCTTTCTTAGTCTAGTCCTCAAGGAACTGGCATTAACTTTATTTTCTCTGTAGGAAAAAACCCTTTTTAACCTCTCCCAGGCTGTTTACTATCTATACCTCATCGGTGTGGGTCCTACTACCGATTCCAAATGCATCTGGGTATCGAGTAGACCTACCAGCCAAGGCCTCTAGATATTTCAGATGGAGTTCCGTAGATTTGTGGTGCTGTCCTCCATCAGAGAATTCTTTGAAACTTCAGGTCTGTTTTCCCTTTGATTGCTGTGAGGCTGAGAGGCTGTGAGCTCTCAGCCAGAGACTTGGGACCTTTTCCCTGGAATTTCTGTTTCTGTTTCCCCGGATGTTCTTGAGAACAGAAGCTTTTCTACGGGACGAGCTGGTCTACGTCCTATAGTTTAGCTTCCTTATGTGAGACTGCCCAAAAAAATGGCTCCATTCCCTCCCAGAGCCCTGAACAAGGGGCAGAACCAAAGCTTAATTATGATGGACAGGAGGCCTGCCCTATGACTGCAAACAGATAACAGAAAGAAAATAAAGTTGGAGCTCCTGCTACAGCCGTACCCGCACAAAGACCATTCTCAGTTCTGAGTTGTACATTGGCACATAACCAATAGAGACTTCTATCATTACACATGTGTAGTTTCAACGTCCTGTGATAAATAGAAGTGGGTCAGGGGAAATCTATAATGAATGCCTCTCGTATCTGACACTCGCCATGTTACACACTCTGTCTCCTTCCCAATGGAGCAGAGCATAGTGGGTGAGTGGGACACCTCTGGTCTGCCACACTTTGAGAATTATTAGATTGGGTCTTTTACAGGAATATTTTGTTGATCTAGTAAATAATTGCCCTGTTTGAAATTATCTTAACCTCTTGACAGATGTTTGCATTCAGGTAACGAACCATTGTGTTCTGGGTTTGATTGGAAAGAGTCTTTGACTAATGTAAACAGAGGTCATTTCCTTTAGAGTTAATCCCATTCCTGGTCAGCAAATGTCGACAGATGTAAACAGATCTAAACAGTTATCTTATCATGGTCACAGTTCTTGTCACGGTTTACTTTTCAGTGCTCATTAACTTTTAATTAAAATCCAGCAAGTAGGTGAAGGCCTCAATTAGGATGGTATCTTGAAAATGGTTACCTGCGATTCATTCACCTTCCATAGAAATCCATTCATTCCCACACATATCAAATCCACACTTATTAAATATGCACATTATATTTATTGTGACACTCATATAATCCAGTTCAAAGCAGATAACCTGGGATCAAATCCTGCTATCAGATGTTGGGATATAAGTGTACTGTCCTGCTTCTGATGCAAACTGGCTTCTAAAATGGAGTCTCAGGATGAAAAGTCCCAGATCTGGTCACATAGTCTGCAGTCCCTTCCACAACCTCAAACAACATAGAGTTAAGGGAAAACTCAATATTCATACAACATACATAAGCAATCACAATTACATAATAACAAATAACTAGTATAGGAGGCTTGTAGAAGGTTGCTATTTCCAACAGTGTGGGTGGCGGGGGATGACTTAAGTTTCTGTTTAGAGATCCTTGCTCAACAGCATCTCGAAGTAAAAATGTACCTATCTTGAGTGTAGTACATGAAGTCTGTAAGAAAATCAACTTTGTTAAATTTTAACAAAGACTTCTTATTTTTGGTGTTTTGAGTCTCTCTCTCACACACTCACACTCACACACACAAAGGCTATGACCTGATGAGGAACAAATTTATTTATTATTTATTTACAGCTTTTATATTCCGCCCTTCTCACCCCGTAGGGGACTCAGGGTGGATTACAGTGTACACATATATGGCAAACATTCAATGTCTATTTTTGACATACAAACATATACAGACATAGTAAGGTAAAGGTAAAGGTAGTCCCCTGACATTAAGTCCAGTCATGTCTGACTCTGGGGTGTGGTGCTCATCTCCATTTCTAAGCCAAAGAGCCAGCGTTGTCCGTAGACACCTCCAAGGTCATGTGGCCAGCATGACTGCATGGAGCACCGTTACCTTCCCGCCAGAGCGGTACCTATTGATCTACTCACATTTGCATGTTTTCGAACTGCTAGGTTGGCAGAAGCTACGGCTGACAGTGGAAGCTCACACCGCTCCCTGGAATCGAACCTACAAGCTCAGCAGCTCAGTGCTGTAACCCACTGCGCCACCGGGGATACAGACATACACAGAGGCTATTTAACTTTTTCTGGCCATCAGGGGAGCTGTCGCTTTCATCGTCCATCTGTGACGCTGATGAAGCACTTCTGCATTCCCCACATGCTTCCCCGCTGGAATGCTTTGCTGGAGTCTTCTTTGTGGCCTCATAAATCAGTTAATTTAGCCTCCCCACACTTATTTTCCTACTTGACAGATGCAACTGTCTTTTGGGTTGCAAAGGTCAACAACAGGCTACACACAATTGGTTGGAAACCCACTCCAGCCTGGGCTGGCTTCGAACTCATGACCTTTTTGGTCAGAGTGATCTTAATGCAGCTGACACTCAATCCCAAAGACAATAAAGAGAAGGGTAATTAAGTTTTGAATCTTCATTAGAAGTTACAGAGCACACACACACTCAGCTGTGCAGGTACTTTACTTTCCCTGATTTGCTCTCCCCTTTGTATTGTGCAGCCCTTGCTTTGTGACATAATTGGGTGCAGAAGAGAGGTTCTTCGGCTCAGGTGGAAACTGCATTGGAGCCCAAAGTGAAGATGGAGGTGCCAAACCAGACCAGCCACGAAGGGGGAAGAGAGCCCTGCCAAATGTGGGTCAGGAGAAGTGTTGGATTCCCCAGCAAAATGGGTCAGGACGTCTTGGAGGAGAAGACCTTCAGCACAGACCTTCAGTGCCAACGCTTCCGGCGCTTCCGCTTCCAGAAGGCCTTGGGCCCCCGAGAGGTCTGCAGCCGCCTCCACTCTCTCTGCCGCCTGTGGCTGAAGCCCGAGAGACACTCCAAGGCGGAGATGCTGGACCTGGTGATCCTGGAACAGTTCCTGAGCATCCTGCCCCCAGAGATGGAGCGCTGGGTGAGGGAATGTGGGGCAGAGACCAGCTCCCAGGCCGTGGCCTTGGCGGAAGGTTTCCTCCTGAGTCGGGCTGAAGAGGAGAAGGCACGGCAGGAAGAGTGGCAGAGAGAGATCCTTCAGACCCAGGAGGCCCTATTGGATACCAGCAAGATGTTCGCTTCTGGGTGCAGCAATCTGGGAAGACATCATTACTTGTCTTTTTCTGATGCAGGAGAAGTGGCCTCTGGACAACAGGATCAGGTAAAAGGAGGGAAGTAGGAATGAACTGGAGAGAATTGGGGAGTTGCTGTCTTATCCCTTCACCTGTCTGCAGAATTCCCTAAATAATTGTCGGGACCCCCAACGGGGAAGTAACATGAAAGGAAAGCAACTTTAATGTCATACCATATTGCATCTACGGTATTGAAGATTTCTCATTGGCCTTCAATACTATAGACGACGGTATCCTTCTGGGGCGCCTTGCAGGGATGGGCCTTGGACTGTTCTGCAGTGGCTTCAGTCCTTCCTGGAGGGTCGTTCCCAGAAAGTGTTGTTGAGGGACTCCTGCTCGGCCCCACTGCCATTGCTCTGTGGGGTCCTGCAGGGCTCAACACTGTCCCCCATATTGTTTAACATCTACATGAAGCCATTGGGGGAGATCATCCGAAGCCATTGGGGGAGATCATTGCGGTTTAATGTCACCTGTACACAGATTACGTTCAACTCTATCACTCCTTCCTACTTGCTACTAAGGAGGCTGTTCAAATCCTGAACCAGTGCTTGGCAGTTGTGATGGTTTGGATGAGGGCAAACAAAATGAAATTGAATCCAGACAAGACAGAGGTCCTACTGTTCAGTTGAAAGGCCGAACAGGGCATAGGGTTACAGCTTGTGCTGGATGGGGTTACGCTCCACCTGAAGCCGCAAGTTCGCAGTTTGGGAGTGATCCTGGACTCATCGCTGAGCCTGGAACCCCAGGTTTTGGCGGTGGCCAGGGGAGCTTTTGCACAATTAAAACTTGTGCGCCAGCTGCGCCCGTTTCTTGGGAAGTCTGTCTTGGCCATGGTGGTCCACGCTCTGGTTACATCCCGTATAGATTACTGCAACGCTGTCATGATGCTAGGATTCTGCCGTTATTCAGGCAGAGGTGAACCAAACAAACTTCCAGTTTGTATCAAACAATTTAATTAAAGCAGCACTTATTTCCTGGCTGTTTTAATAGTCCAAAATATAAAACATAAAGATAGCACTCAGCCACAGAATATAAAACAAAAACTGTTAGCAAACGCTACACCGTAGTCAAAGGGTCCAGTCCAGTGGTAAGATGCTGAGGGTTCAATGAGCCAAGTCCAGGGATCAAGAGTCTATACCAGGGGTCCTCAAACTTTTTAAACAGAGGGCCAGGTCACAGTCCCTCAAACTGTTGGAGGGCCGGATTATAATTTGGAAAAAATGAATTAATTCCTATGCACACTGCACATATCTTATTTGTGGTGGAAAACCACTTAAAAACAATACAATAATTAAAATGAAGAACATTTTAACAAATATAAACTTATTAGTATTTCAGTGGGAAGTGTGGCTGCTTTTGGCTGATGAGATAGGATTGTTGTTGTTGTTGTTGTGTGCTTTCAAGTCGTTTCAGACTTAGATTGACCCTGAGCGAGGGCCAGGTAAATGACCTTGGAGGGCTGTATCTGGCCCCCGGGCCTTAATTTGAGGACCCCTGGTCTATACTGTAGTCAAAAGCAAGTCCAAAGGTTCAAGGTTCCAGGGTTCCAAGATTACAGGAGACAGGTCAGGATACCAAAAATCCAACAAACCTGGGGGAAAACCAGCAGCATCTACCACCAAGATAAAACAAATACTTTTCTCCAAAAGATCAGTCCCAAGGCTAGCTCCTTATATCCAGAAACACCCAGCTGCAACCTATCTCTTGCATACCTCCACCCTTAATTGCTTTCACCCATGAACTCTTACTTACAGATTACTCAACTTTTTAGAACTAAGACTTACATTAACCCTTCCATCACCAACTGCTAGGCCTGCCACCACCAACCACCATCAACTGCAGAACATGATACATGACAAATGTGCTCCACATCGGGTTGCCTTTGCAGACTGCTTGGAAACTACAATTGGTCCAATGGGCGGCAGAGCCAGGCTGCTCACCAGAGCAGTGTGCAGCATACAACACACCCTGTTGCATCAGCTCCATTGGCTACCGAGCACAATTCAAAGTGCTGGCTTTAGCTTATAAAGCTCTAAACAGTTCCGGCCCAGCCTACCTGTCTGAACATATTGCCCCCTATGAACCATCATGGAGATTAAGATCGTCTGGGGAGGCCCTGCTCTCGGTCCCACCTTCTTCGCAAGCGCAGTTGGTGGGGATGAGAGACAGGGCCTTCTCGATAGTGGCTCCTCAGTTGTGGAACTCCCTCCCTAGCAATATCAGGACAGCCCCCTCCCTCTTCATAGAATCAAAGAGTTGGAAGAGACCTCATGGGCCATCTAGTCCAACCCCATTCTGCCAAGAAGCAGGAATATTGCATTCAAATCACCCCTGACAGATGGTCATCCAGCCTCTGTTTAAAAGCTTCCAAAGAAGGAGCCTCCACCACACTCCGGGGCAGAGAGTTCCACTGCTGAACGGCGCCCACAGTCAGGAAGTTCTTCCTCATGTTCAGATGGAATCTCCTCTCTTGTAGTTTGAAGCCATTGCTTCGCGTCCTTAGTGTTTAGAGAGTCAAATCTTGTCTCTGGGAGCAGGCGTTTGAAAAATACAGCAGTGCAGGAATGTTAGTATGGAATATGTACAATTTGACTCTGAATTGGCCTTTAGACTCTGACTGGATGATGTGATTCCTTGAAATGTTTTATTATGCTTATTATCTTTTAATGTTTAACTTATGTTTTAACTGATTTGGTATGTTGGGGTAGAGAAAGGCAGGATATAAATAAGGTAAATAAATTAATTAAAAATTAATGTAAAGGAATATGCAAGGTAAGCAGGATTTTTTTGAGGCAACATTGATGGAATCGTTCCAGGAGTTGCATGTGATGTGCATTGCAGAGGGATTGGCGGGTGCTTGCTGGAAGGGCACTTTGGTTTTCTCAGTGTTCAGTGACAGGCCGAGATTCTCCTATGCTCCTGTGAAGGTGTCTAGACAGCGTTGCCTGTGCACATTCAGAAAAAGATTCAGATTTCTGAATGTGCACAGACGACGTTGTCATCAGCATATTGGAGTTCCATAACAGATTTATTTATTTATTTATTTACAGTATTTATATTGCGCCCTTCTCACCCCGCAAGGGACTCAGGGCGGATTACAGTGTACACATATATGGCAAACATTCAATGACAAAGACACACAACAGATATAGACAGACAATCAGCGGCTCTTTAACTTTTCTGGCTGTCAAGTAGGAAATGTAGGTACCACTTATATGCTAGCTCGGGTCGGAGTGAGCTTCCGACCAATTGTGTAGCTTGTTGTCGACCTTTGCAACCCAAAAGACAGTTGCATCTGTCAAGTAGGAAATTTAGGTACCGCTTATATGTGGGGAGGCTAATTTAACTAATTTACGAGGCCATAAATATCTCCAACAAGCATGCGGGAATGAGGAAGTACTTCATCAGTGTCGCAGACGGACGGTGACGGTGAAGCGACAGCTCCCCTAGTGGCCAGAAAAAGCTGGAATGTTAAATAGCCTCTGACTATCTGTCTATATGTGTTGTGTGTCTATGGCATTGAATGTTTGCCATGTATATGTACATTGTAATCCGCCCTGAGTCCCCTGCAGGGTGAGAAGGGAGGAATATAAATACTGTAAATAAATAAATAAATAAGTGGAAGAAAAATAATTTGTGTAAACATTGCACTCCATTTTAAACTACTCCAAAAGTTCTTTCTTTGAACCCTGAGTTCCAATTTCCATCGGATGCGCTTTGGTGTATATTGGATTCTGCTTAGTAGTGGGGAAAGCATTATTGATCTCAGAATCTTCTTGTTTCAGGTGACTTTTGAAGATGTGGCTGTCCATTTCAGCGAGGAGGAGTGGGCCCTACTGGATCCGGATCAACAGACCCTGCACTGGGAGGTCATGGAGGAGAATTATGAGATGGTGACCTTGTTCGGTAAGGATCCCTCTGCCTCTTGGTTGGTAGAAAAACAGTTTAGGAATTGCCACCTGTTTCTCTTAGTGAGAGACTCGGGTGGGATAAACAATGACGTTATTCTCAACTGAGGGATGAGATAAAGTGCCTTAGAAAGACGATTGACACTGAGACAGGACCTGACATGAGAATTAGTGCACCAGGAAAGCCAAGTTTTTAAGCTTTTCCTAAAGGCTTCTAGAGTGGGTGCTTGCCTAATCTCCCTGGAGAGCGAGTTCCAGAGCCAAGGGGCCACCACAAAGAAGGCCCTCTGTCATGAATGACTTTTCAATAACTTTGAAGCATAGGTTCTTTTTATTGCAATTTCCAGTGTGAGAAGGTATGTCAGATTACAGAAAAACATTTAGACAAAGAATGACATTGGACATACAGACATACAGATTCTATACAACTATATTGGATTTACAGTTACATTGGTTAGCAAACAAACAAAGGGGAGTTACATAAACTTGCAGCATTGCATACAAAATAAAAACTGTAGCAAACATACACAGTCCTTGTAAGTAATGCAGAGCATGTATTGTCGAAGGCTTTCATGGCCGGAATCACTGGGTTGTTGTAGGTTTTTTTGGGCTATATGGCCATGTTCTAGAGCCACTCTCTCCTGACGTTTCGCCTGCATCCTCACCTCTAATCACCTCTCAACAAAAGATTCCCCCAGGTACTGCCAAGCCATCAAACGCTAATCAAGGTGGTCAGTTGAAACATCCACACCTAGCTCCAGCAGACAATAGTCTTTTGTCCCAGCCTGGTCATTCCACAGATATATAAACCCTTTTTCCTAGTTCCAACAGACCTCACTACCTCTGAGGATGCTTGCTATAGATACAGGCGAAACGTCAGGAGAAATGCCTCTAGAACATGGCCATATAGCCCGAAAAAACCTACAACAACCCAAGACAGAGCATGGTTTCTTCATCTTTCTTCAAATGAGAGAGCAGGACACAAAATGTGAGCAAAAACTGTTGAGTCAGAGCATTAGCTCCTTAGAGCAAAAGCTAAAGCTGAACTGTATTCTAAACCACATACAGTTACACCCCACTGGGTGTAGTCCAAACTTACTAGCTGACCTAGATTAAGGTAAAGGTAAAGGTAGTCCCCTGACATTAAGTCCAATCATGTCTGACTCTGGGGTGTGGTGCTCATCTCCATTTCTAAGCCGAAGAGCCAGCATTGTCCATAGACACCTCCAAGGTCATGTGGCCGGCATGACTGCATGGAGCGCCGTTACCTTCCCGCCGGAGTGGTACCTATTGATCTACTCACATTTGCATGTTTTCGAACAGCTAGGTTGGCAGAAGCTAGGGCTGACAGACCTAGATTAGCAGTTGCATATAATAATTAACAGTATAAGGTTTTCTTTAACACACACACACTTGATTCTGTTACAACTTACAGAACTGTCTGGTTGGCAAGATTTTCTGTATCTGGTGGTTTAATTCGCTGTGCTACCATGGCCCAAATTTAGAATCATAATTAGAATCCATAATTAGATTTTAGAATCATAAAATCCTAGAGTTGGAAGAGACCTCATGGGCCATCCAGTCCAACCCCATTCTGCCAAGAAGCAGGAATATTGCATTCAAATCACCCCTGACAGATGGCCATCCAGCCTCTGTTTAAAAGCTTCCAAAGAAGGAGCCTCCACCACACTCCGGGGCAGAGAGTTCCACTGCTGAACGGCGGAGTTCTTCCTCATGTTCAGATGGAATCTCCTTTCTTGTAGTTTGAAGCCATTGTTTCACGTCCTAGTCTCCAAGGAAGCAGAAAACAAGCTTGCTCCCTCCTCCCTGTGGCTTCCTCTCACATATTTATACATGGCTATCATATCTCCTCTCAGTCTTCTCTTCTTCAGGCTAAACATGCCCAGCTCCTTAAGCCGCTCATTGTAGGGCTTGTTCTCCAGACCCTTGATCATTTTAGTCGCCCTCCTCTGGACACATTCCAGCTTGTCAATATCTCTCTTGAATTGTGGTGCCCAGAATTGGACACAATATTCCAGGTGTGGTCTAACCAAAGCAGAATAGAGGAGTAGCATGACTTCCCTGGACCTAGACTTGTTCCCAGCTTCCCTTTTCGAATGCCTTCTTACGGTTTGTTTCTTTTTTCAAGGTGGTGCTGTGCAGGTGAATGAAAATGGGGAATCATCATGTCAGGTGCCATTGAAAACAGAAGAAGAAAGGAACATGAGAGTGGAAGGAGAAGAAGATCTGTGCCATGCCAACACCAGGGAAATCCTAGTCCTAGTCCATAAAGAAACGGATGAGAGTACGGAAATGAGCAACTGCCTTGTCTACAATAACGGCCAGCCATCATGCTTCAATGATCACGCCACAAACTATATAGAGGAAAGACAGCCTTCTGAATATCGTCAACTGGAAGCAAGCTTTGGTTCTCATACACACCTGACAAATGACAAAATATCGGATATGTTGGACAAGCCATACAGGTGTTCGGAGTGTGGAAAAGGCTTTACCCAAAAGAGAACTCTCGTTGTGCATGAAATGAACCACAGGGGAGAGAGACCGTACGCATGTCTAGAGTGCGGGAAGAGCTTCAGCTGCAAGTTTCTCCTCAAAAAGCACCGGAACCGTCATACGGAAGAGAAATCGTACACGTGTCTTGAGTGCGGCAAAGGCTTCACCCAAAAGAGAAGTCTCGTTGTGCATGAGATGAACCACAGGGGAGAGAAGCCCTACAAATGTCTGGTGTGTGGGAAGAGCTTTAGCTGTAAATCGGTGCTCAAAAATCACCGCAATAGCCACATCGTCGAGAAACTGCACACCTGCCTGGAGTGTGGGAAGAGTTTCCGCTGGAGAGCGAGCCTCACGGCACACCAAAAAATCCACACGACAGAGGAAGAGCGGCACAAATGCCTGGAGTGTGGGAAAGGCTTTGCTTCAAAGAAAAATCTCGCCGTGCATGAAATGAACCACAGAGGAGAGAAACCCTATAAATGCCTGGAGTGTGGGAAGAGCTTCATCTACCAATCAATCCTCAAGAGTCACCAAAACAGTCATACGGAAGAGAAATCCTACACGTGCCAGGAATGTGGGAAGAGCTTCAGTTGGAGATCAACCCTTTCCCGGCACGAAAAAACCCACACCGGGGAGAAGCCACATAAATGCACGGAGTGCGGTAGAGGTTTCATTCAAAAGAGGAGCCTCATTGGGCACGAAATGAATCACAGAGGGGAGAAACCCCATAAATGCCTACAGTGTGACCGGAGCTTCATCTACAAGTCGAACCTCAAAATTCACTTGAGTAGTCACACAGAGGAGAAATCGTACCCCTGCCTGGAGTGCGGGGAGAACTTCAGTCAGAGAGCAACCCTCAAGAGGCACCGGAAATCTCACACGGGAGAGAAGCCATGTATATGCGAGGCGTGTGGGAAATGCTTCCGTCAGAAAGGAGACCTCAAAAGACACCAGAAAACCCACACGGGAGAGAAGCCGTATAAATGCCAGGAGTGTGGGAAAGGCTTCACCGAAAAGAGGAATCTTGTTGGGCATGAGATGAACCACAGAGGAGAGAAGCCCTATCAATGCTTGGAGTGTGGGAAGAGTTACATCTTCAAATCAGGCCTCAAAACTCACCAGGAGAAGAGTCATGCAAATGCCAAGAGTGTGGGAAGAGATCAGGAATAG